AAGCCAAAATCATACATTCCCTATCTCCATAATACGGACACCTCTGTAAAGCGGACACTTGGTTCTGGCCCTTTAGTATCCGTATTAAAAAGGTTTGACTTTAGTGTAAATGTAATATAAGTACATTATTTTTGTAAATGTAATATAACTATATTATTTTGAAGTTCGAACTTTCATAACATCAGTTTCTAATTATAGTCTCTGATTCTCCATTTTCGTGGTTCTTTAATCAAAGAGCACGATTAGGTTAGTCAAGACTGAATTATTCTAGCATCTCACTCTGTATAAAATTGTAGAATGTTACAATCGATGATAAGGAATCATGAGCGGCCCTCCATAGCATCGCGCAATGTGCAATCCAGGGTATGTTTTCCTTCAGTTTCGCTATTCCTTATGGCATTTTAAGTTAATGGCTCAATCAATTCCAAGCGTGTTTATTCCCCCCCCCCCCCGCGCATTTGTTGGGCATTTGTCATCTTAATTGTCGGCCCCGGTCGAGGAGATCTGTCAGAAAACCTCTGCCCATTGTTGACATGCTGTTAAGAGGGTCTGAATGGTGGGGGGTCCACCTGTCGGTTGTCGGTTAAAATTCAGTTACTTTGTCGGTAGTTGGTTAACATTTTCGATACATGTCGGTTGTCGGTAAATCTCAGTTAATAGCGGAGCCTCCGTGCGCGCGAGCGTGGAGCTCCATACCTAAGAGAAAATGGGAAACTGTCGATGCGAGAAATTTGGTTATGACGTCACCGTACGTCCCTCCGTACGTCCGGGCGTTCTTTCCGGGTAGGGGTAAGTAGAAACGAATTCATCCCCTCTCCCCAAGAGAGTTTTGTTCCCTATTGTTTCAAAAGGCTTTAGAATGATTCATTGCCCAGAATACTATCGTCTTTTGCAACATGTACTTACATAATAATTGAACATCGGAAAGCCGACTACTCCCGTAAAAGAATCGCTAGCTGTCAATGAAATGGTTTGAATACCCTTAGAATGATCTGACTGATCTGACTGCGTGCGACGGCTAAACATTTTCTCTCAATACATAAAAAAGCGTTGTCAAATAGCAAAAGAAATGAGCGGAACACTTCCTTTTGTTTCATCGTTGCGTTTCAGTTTTGTTGAACCGGTCAAAGCAGCTCATATTAAAGACGCGCTCTTTTACTCGATTGGTTTGTGCACTCCATGCATCGGTTTCTATTTGTAAGACGATGGAAGTGAAGTAATTGCAAGAGAGGATAATCATTCTCCCTGGTATGACATTTCTCTTTGAAATCCTGAGTCGGTTAACATGTAAAAACATTGAGGAAACATTGTATGAGATAATTATTCAAATTTAGATCCGTTTCAAAACATTAATATGCAGACGGGAGTTTCAAACCAGGTCGAACGTGTCCTCGGGCTTTACGAACGTAAACGAAGAGGGGTACTTTCAGAAATTGACGAAAAGCCAGAACGTCCACACAACGTAATCAGAGAGTCTTCCTTAATAGTCAGACTAACATATCCATATGCTGACACATGAATAAAGTGACTTGCCGAACAAATATTTAGCCTCAAACGTGACCCCCCATACAAAAAAGTGACTAAACTAGCCGATTTTAAAAGTGGAAAAGCCAGAACTTCTACAAGGACTACATAGTGCTTATTCATGTGTTCTTTTTCATGTCAAGCACAAAAAATCACCATTTCTCGCGGTTTTAACCTGATGTCTAATTCTTGGCAAAATCCAAGATGGCGGCTAAGATGGCCACTATTGTTGGTGACGTCATAGGCGTCCAGCAGCGCCATCACTCATTAAATATACCTCATCTTGTTAAGAAGATCAAAGGCTTTCCACTGTTTCGAAATACTGCAACATATCAAAAACTCTAGGGGAGGGTTCCATCCCCCCCCCCCACTTGTACCACTGTCTGAGTGTGAATTTAAGTGTACGTCCGAGGGATAATAACGATTAAGTATAAAGACTGCCATGTTGGTTTTTGCATTTTGCCTTTAAGTCGGCTGAGACATTACTTATCAGTGGATGTCTGCATTCCTTATAATTATTTTTCCTATAACTTAAAAAATGAAATATATTATTTAATAATATCAAAGTCTTTTTAAAGTTCCACTGTTTGTACAAGTTAAACTGACATCCGAACAAAATGCGACAAGGTGAGAGTCAAATCAGCTTTTCAGCTAATTGTGTCTTTTGTTGGAATTCAATCTTTAGGCAATCAGTAAAATTAGGAACTAAATTTTCAGAAACTAAACAGGCTCTTGCCGTTTTTCTAGCCGCGCAAAGCCGCAGACGCAATTGTGTGTGGTTAATACTGCACGTACCCTAATACCATCCACATGATGGGTGTTTTCTGAAAAAAAATCTTATAGAAACGGTTATTTTATGCAACATACACTTTATTAGACATTCTTGGACAGTAACTTTAATAAAATCTTTCAATCTATGCTAGTTTATATTAATATGAAGCACACAAGTCGCGCGAAAGGCAGACGTTACATCCCGCCTCGTTTCCATGTTGTGCTTTAGGGGAGATATGGGGTTCTAATAAAACCCGTTTTTGGCAACTTCCCCTACAGGGATTTTCAGGGACTTTTGATATGTTGTAGAGAACATCTTGCTGGGTCAAAAACCGTTAAGAAACCTTCCTTTGCAATTAGTGACAGGTTGACCTATTTGTTTTCGCAAAATGCCTGGACTATTAATTATAAATAGTTGATATGTATTGCACCCAGTTTCAAGACTTTGATTCTTATAAAACGTAAGAATGCATCATTCATTGTACTTTTAAAATTTCATTTCATTCAACTACGTATTGTTTATGCAACATGATCGTTTATTTCACCTTTGTTTGCCAATATAGTACTGATAAAATCACCAAAGCTTTTATTGTAAATGGAAACTTGGTTTCCCTGTTGATTACAGGGCACAATAAAAAGTAACCAAGAGAGGTTAACTGGACAGAGGAAAACGCCCACTCTAGCCTTTTGGATACGTAAATGTTTTTTAGTAAAAAAACTGCAAGGGGTGACCTGCTATACATCTATACCGGCGTGAAACCGTGTGTCGTAGGAAATAATAGGTCGTTCTTTAAACATTTGGCAAAGTAGTGATTGCCTTTGTATGAGATTTCACTTTTTAACTGGTGGGTACGCGCGAACGTAGACACGAGTTATTTGCAGGGACAGGGATATGCAAATGAGTCACTTGCTCACTCTTAGAAGACGGACTTCGTAATTAATCAGGTTCGATTTCGAGAGTGCGAAGATGTATCTTTTCCGAAGAAGCACGCGCTCGCCTAAGTTCGGTGGGATCAAATTAATTCCTCGCGTGCATCGTGCGCTGCTCAGATTTTTCTTTGTGGCAAGTTTTCTACAGCACGGTTAGAGGTCTCGCCAAATTTTAAGACACGCAGGAGTCTTTCAGACTAGTACGATCGCTAACTTGGGGATTGGATTTCAAGAGCCTTTGACGAGGGTCTCAATGGGGTGGTGGCTTTTACGGTTATCGGCTAAAATTTTGTATCTTTTACGGCTATCGGTTAATTTTTTTTCCGTTACGGTTAATAGTCAATTTAAAAATAACGAACGCTCAGAGATATGCCGGGGCGAGACATTCATTATAACAGAAATGGCCGTTTTTTTAACACTAGAGAAGTATTATTCGCGTGAGCCGTGTTATCCGTTAGATGATTCGCGTCAGATAGGTAATACGTCTTAATTTGAAAATGGAATAGTTTTAATTTTGAATGAACAATCCACCTGACTTTTGAAGACGGGATTATCCGTTCCAGATAGCCTGTGTACAGTCCCCCCCTCCCCTCAGAAAAAAATCGGAGAAGGAGTGTCTGTGGGGAGGACGCGACTGTACACAGGCTAGTTTCAGATCGATAATCCATTTCTAGCTCTAGTGTGAAAACGGCCAATAACAAAATTCCCGTTTCCTGTGTTTTTAATGATAGCGAAGGAGTGTACGGAACGACTGTCTGCCGTTGTTTTGTCCGTAGGCCGCATTATTCCGCGCGGCTAATGCGTTTCTGGTCACGTGGTCCGAGCGAGTTCGCCACCGAAATGCCTTGACCGAGACTGCGTGGGAAGACGCCGTACAGGGACTAGGCATGGCAATGTCTACCGTAGCGTCAGAGAAAAACAGGAAAATGTTGTTTCTCGACAACGTGTGTTACAAACAGTGACATCTCTGCGTGTTGTTTCACAAGTGTTTCGAGAGCACGACCTCCTGAAAATTGCAAATATTAATCCCCAGCAAGAAGCCACACTTTCGCTATGGAAAAAATTAGTTCCCCGAGAGAGCGCCGGAAATGGAGCCAAGGTCTTGGTTAACACCTAAAAGGCGCTTCGCCTAACGTGCGTACGGAGTCACACTAGCCGGGAAATAAAAAACGCAACCATAAGTGAGTTTAGTACCTTCCTTAAAAGTAGCAAATCTAGGGAACACTTTCTTTTACGGTTAACTCTTTTTTACCCTATTTACGGCTAACGGTTAAAATTTTTCAATTTTTACGGCTATCGACGAAATTTTTGGCCGTTTTACTCCTATCGTATAACCCCATTGAGGCCAGGCCCTCTTTGACTCGTCCAGGCGTTAAACTTGACTAGAAGATGAGCATTTGCTCTTCGACTCCCCAAGATCACAGGGTGTAAACAAATTCCAATCAAAGTTCGATTGGGTTCGATTACGTATTTTTTTTTGGTGGGGAGAATTCGATTGTGGTCGATTACCGAACTTACTCGAACCGTATCATTCTATTAAGTTCGATTTGATTTAGTTCGATTAAGAAAACGTTTGATTTGGTTCGAGTAGCTACGTCGGGAGTAATTATCAACAGCTGTGAAGGCTTTTCCCGTAATGATGGCTCGAGATCTTGAGCAATTAAGTTTTCCTTTTTACCACATTTAATTCCCAGAAGTTTCTTCACGTCACATAGCTACGACGCCCTTCACGAATTTGACGAGTTTTCAGTTTAATATTTCTCCGGTTATTGTTGTCAAAAAAGACTTTGCACAGAACTTTTTTTTGCCAAGATGAAGTTCCAACGAGCGAATTCTGGCCTACAAATACCTAGCATAGTAACTGACTTCAACTTATACTGTTCACGACTCGAGAAAGGATACTCAACTCGTCAAAAAAAAAAACTAAAAAATAAAAAAAAAAAAAAAAAAACCAGCAAGCACTCACTGGACGATGTCCCCCCCCCCCCCTTGCACTTTCATTTTCCCTTTTCCCTTCTCCCCAGCCTCGGCCTACGACACAAAGAGGCCTCTGCGGAAAGGGAGAGAGTATTCCGTGCAACGCGTATAGCCGTCGCATCTACTCGTTCAATTGGTTTTGAGCTTAAAATCAACGAAAAATTGCAATGGGAGAATACTACTGCTATACGCGCATATTACAAATAAATCTACCCTTTAAGTGTGATCCGACGATATACTTCTGTCACTTCTTTTAAAGACAACCGTAAATAGTTTCAATGCAAGTATAACATACTTCGTAACAAATACATATTTTTTATCCATTGTTTTGAAGAAATCTTTTTTCCTTCTTTGATCGAAGTACTTACCATAGGGACAAGACCCCCCTGCGAAGAAGAAGTCATCAATTGCTATGTCACCAGTTATACTGCTTCCTACTACGCCCTCAAATGTTACCTGTCAAAAACATGGTATTACAGTGTGATCAGTCTGGAAAGGTCGCTTTAATGATGGGCTTTAAAGACCAATTAATATTGCAGAAATGAAAAATTAACTGGAAAGTTTAAAGAACTAAATGATTGAAACGAACAGCAAGCACATCCGCTTTGAAACGCTAAGTGACATTTTTCTTTGCATTTGCGAACTTTCGAGTGATTTATAACTTACATTTTGTATGTGTTTAATTTATAGTTAATGATCAGATGAAGTATTATAGTTTTACTTGTTTTGCTGATAAATACAGAAAGTCCGTGTAAAGTAAGATTTGTGGAATTTAGACTCTCGAAAATTCTCAAAAGGTTGTCAAAGATTCCTCCCTTATGCCGCTTAAAATCATTGGCTTCCTACTGCGTTTAGAGAAAACCGTTTTCAGACGGTTTTGATATCGATGTGGTCTCATTAATGCTTACCCAATGCAATCCCACAATAGATGATATATTTATACTAGCTTTATGCCATATGCCTCCTTTATCACCACTCGCAGAGAACACTACTGTTTCATTTATGGTGACGTTCAGGCTTCCATTAGCAGCACCAGACAAATAGTAATAGAATTCAAGGCACATAATCCCAAAGAACTTCAGTGGAGGACTGTACAATTTTGCATCATCACCTGGTTGATGTGGACTGGATGCTGTTATGTATATGTAATAACCTTTAAAGAGATAAAGATGGATAGAGGGTAGCAACTTATAACTAACCCGTAGTTTTAAGTTGAGGACTGACTGTCCAATTTTGTTAGTTCTTCTTATTAATATACGAAATAAATCATATATGAACTGCGGAAATGAAATGAAAATGAAGAAATGATCGTCGCAGAAGCCTGAAAAAAAATTCAGGACTTCAAAGGGGTTTGAACCCGTGACTTCGCAATTTCCGCAGTTCATATATGATTTATTTCATATATTATTAACACTCATTTTTTTCACAGGAACATATGAACCCACAATTGACCTGCTCCCAACGTCAGTGGCTTCATAGCTCAGTTGGTAGAGCATCGCACCGGTAACTGCGAGGTCACGGGTTCAAACCCCGTTGAAGTCCTGAATTTTTTTCAGGCTTTTTTACGCAATAGCATAAATTGCGTTCACTGCGACGATCATTTCTTCAAAATCATTTGTAAGTTCTTGTTGACTACATAACTGTAAAAAATGAACGTGTAAGAACTTACAAAGAGATACGGATACAGGGAAGAAAAATCACCCGTGCTTACTAAAAAACGTTTTGCAGTTGACCTAGAATAAGATTTTTCAAAGTTTGCGCGCAAATGCTAAAACAGTTCTCTGACCTCGTAAGTGCAACGTGAGTAAGGTAGACTGATCAGCTTAAAAAGCCTTTTGTAAAAATAAAAACTTCAGTATTAAGGCTCCTTTCTGGAGTAGAGAGCCACGGGAAGAGCTACATGCAACTGTATATTGTTTAGCAGGAGCAAAAAGGGCTACTATATATTAGCGGATTCAGATCATCAAGTAAGTGGGGAGGGGGGGGGCTGTTTCGCTCAACGGGGCCCTAAGAATAAGGGTAGCCGGTCTCCAGGATAATTTTTCTTGGCCAAACGGGCCTAAGTCGTATCTAAAAAGTAAGGAGGGGCCCCTGGGGGTTAAATATTAACGTTGCTTTCAGAATAAGAAAAAAAGGTGGATTTGGGCTGGATTGCTCAAGGCTGGGTAAAGATAACCCAGGATAGTGCAAAATTCGGATTTAGATATGAAACCTAAAAAAAAACAATTTTGGTTTAATTCTTTTTGTCTACAATTTGATCACTGGATGCTCTAAATAACCGTAACTGTCGCTGCTAATAGTAAGTCTGGCTAGTTGTAATTTAATTAGTTTAGAGTTCACCTGTCATGTTTCCAGTGGTGTGATCAAAGGAAGGTCCTTTACTGGAAGATGGGCTTCTCCTGTGTCGAGTCCAGTCAAGCGTCCCATCTTTGCCTGGCTCGAAACCGCACATTGATACATCAAAGTTGCATGTTATTTCTAAGTTGAGAAGAAGAAATGAATCTTAATGTTATAAATTGGTATTTTTATGCTGGATCGATTTAACGTACTTCTTAAAGGCATACGAACCTAAGGTCCCGTTTATATTGAGAAAAGTTGTTCCGTGTAGAAGGGTCACTCGCCAACCCGAGGTACCCTGGGCGCGAGCCAACCGTTCCGACGCTTCGTGTTCATCTCGTTATACAACTTGGTAAACTGTTAACATGGCAAACAAAAGTTGGCTCGGCTAGAAGGGTCTACTGGCCACGCTTGTTGTTTCACCCTTATTCGATGCCAGGGTCGCCCACCTAACCGGGCCAACTTTCCTCCATAAAAACACCTTGGCTCGCCCAGCCGGGTCAACTTGGTCAAGGCGAGACAATCAGAGCATGCGCGAGCGGTGTTTTAGGTAATAAGAGCACGCATGCGTGCATTGTTGACTCGTTTGGAAGAGTGACCCACTTTTCCGGGACCTTTTCTCCTTAAAAACGGAGCCTCACATTGAAATGCAACTTTTAACACCAGGTACCGCGGAGCAGGGTTTTCACAGGGCATACGTACATCGAGGCTTAAACATGCAAAACGGAATTTAGTTTAACCAAACTGGTTACAAATGCATCTAAAATGGGCTCATCCTCGTCGTGAGAACCTGTAATACCCACGAGCTATGTAAAACGAAGGAAACATCGGATTTAACGCAATAAGAGTTTAAAAAAGGAATAATGATATCGCCCCATGTAAGGAAATCCAGATTCCGGAACCCCGGAAAATTTTGCTTATGGAATCCGGAATCCTGGGCTTTGGAATCCGGAAAACAGCCCAAGGAATCCGGAATCCTACTAACGATTGCAATCCGGAATCCAAGTTCCACTGACAAATAGGGGAATCCAGTACCTGGAATCCAGAATCCTCAGCGTGGATTTCAGAATTCAAGACTGCCCTGGATTCCCTTACATGGGGTGAATGATAACTCAAGAAAAACTTTACAGTTCTTACATCGAGGTGAAAATCTAACACTATTATCTTTTTACTATACAAGTTTCAATAATGTATTTCAAAAAGGGATTGTGAAAATCTTAAATTAAAGTTGATCTTTTTGATCAAATCGTAGTAAAGCTTTTTCCACTTCGAAAATCCTTCATGCAGAGCGGAAATTCGCACCTGAATGTGTTGTGAATAAACCCTTTGAAACATTTACGACTGATGATGATAGCGCTTTGTTCCTTCTTCACCAGGACATGTTCAGTTGGTCTCTTACTTAACCCAGTGCATTGTTTGAGAAGGAACCCATGCCTCTTGCTCCTTCGAAAGGTATACAACTGCATGTACTAAGCTATAATTTCAACTTCTCAATTTAGCATTTTTTTATGGCTTGCAAGTCGATTACATAAGCAAAAATATTAAAGATGCCCAAATGTTAAAAGTGCGCTCTTTCAAAGAGGCCAGGCAGTTCCCTTCGTATGGTTGTTATGATTAAATTAACTAGAAATACGTGTCTTGCAAACCCTCCTCTTTGCTTATTTGAGTCCTTCTCCCATCCTCAAAAACCGAGTAGCAGCGAATGTTTACAACAAGTGAGTAGCTGTCCTTGTTCTTCGAGGATGTTCCTCCCCCTACCTTGTTGACAACTGACGTCAATCTCTCTGATAAATTCATCCAATAATTTCCTGGCACTTTGCTGCTTCTTATTAACCTCGTTCTTTTTTTGGTTTATGTTATTGGAGTACTCTGCAAAACGAAGTAACAAAGTAGAACATAGGAAATAATTCTCTTCCCATTTTAATGATAATTCACTGCACGAAAAATCAGATTTACAAAAATTTACTCGGCGCAAATATGGTGCAAAAAAGTGCAAACTAGGGGGAAATCAAAAGCAAAGATGCTAAATGCCGCATTTGCTTGCCAGTTTACCCGGGGCTGTAAATTTGAGGGCAAATGCGGTATTTACCATCTTTGCCCTTTATTTAACCTTAGTTTGCACTTTTTTGCGCCAAATTTGCACTGTCAGTGAGTAAATTTTTCGTGTAGTGTAATGAGCAACGGAATTCTATTCGAAACAAAATCTTTTTACAACTGCCTAATACTTCAACACAAATACCACCGAAGAAGTCAAATTATCATTCCTTAAAGGCATGCTTACGCTTTACAGTTAAAGTTCTGTTGAGGAATTAACAATAATATGTAGAGTGATTGCGTCGTTGAACAACTTTTCTGTTTATCAGTGTTTTACAAGACCAATCTTAACAGACACGAACAGTAAACTCAACTCAACGCCATTACGAAAAGTTGTATCTCCACGGACATCCCATGATGCATCGCAATATGGTGCACCTTCTAACACCGTTCTCCAGTAAATTTGCAATTTAAGATCTGCTGGAGTATCTTTGCGGCATTTTCACTAAGCTCCCCGAACGTGTTCGTTTAACGGTATTTAGTTCCATCTTAGCGCATTGAGCAGGTTCTGTATATAGCCTTTGTGGTCTCAACACGGTTTCTTGCAGATAGTTTTCCATAGAGGCACATTAACATCGTATGAACGGTATCCGCAATTCTGTGACTAAGACAGTTTCTTTCTTCCATCCTTGTCCTCTCAGTAGACCTTTAGGCTTGACTATAACGGTATTTCCAGGCATTACCTCATTTAAATCTTTGGCAGTCTGGTCATAATAACCTTGAGGCTTCTGGTTTCTTTAAGTTTTCTCTGCTAGCACTTTTTCCCCAATCTCCGCTGTCAGCAGTGTTCGTTCATGGGTATTTCAATTCTTGTTCGACCGTTTATCAACGTTTGTGCGGTAGATGTTGTCATGCCAGCCGTAGGTGTGTTGTGCTGGTCAGGTTATGCTTCATCCTGACTCAGTGTTTTTTTTTTCTCAGATTTTCCTCAGCAGTCCTAACAATCTTCACAGCGGATTCAGCTTTTCCATTACTTTCATTTTGGTGGTAATTACCGTAGCTGAAGATTTTGAATGTTTAATCTTCTTTCTTTGGCGCGCAGAATTGTGGGAATTCAACTGAGTCGGAAATGACACAGACTGCATGTTGCGACACATCAGGAATTCCCAACTCGCAAACTGTTTTTGCATCAGATCAGTGGTTTCACCTTCAGTTTGGTTTTTCGTCAAATCAAATTCAATCCAGTCACTGTTATGCACTGATGTCATCGGCTTGCCCCAGGGGTGAACCCCAGGCCAGCCAAAGGGATTGTAAAATGGCTGGAGCAAAGTCGATAATTCAATTTGCCCCAGGGGTGGGGAAATTTAACATAGCAAAGTTCCCTGGGTCAAGTGCTTCTCAACTAATATTCCCCTGATACGAGATTTACGCCATCTGACTGGGATTTAAGCGCCATTTTTTATGATAGAATAGCTCTTGTTGTTGCTTGCGTAGTTGGTTTGATTTCTTGCGTGCGATTGTTGAAAAAGACGTCAAAAACACCTGTGGATTTAATATTTGGCTGCAAAACCACGACAATAATGGACGCGAAAACACTTTGCAGCTCACTTCCCTAAAAAGCAATCCCACACTCTGATCCCGCCAGCTACGCACCCCAGTGACGCACCCGGCTATGAAGAGTTGGGGATCAAATTCTATTCATTCGTTTTAGGAGCGGCGAAATAAAATATAATACATTAATATTTCAATAAAAATCAGTACAATAAAATAGCACCCGAAGACAAGTTCACGAAGGTTATTATTAGCAAGAGCCTGGTAATGTTTTATTTTTTTTTGCTGTTTCTGCGATTTGTCGCGAGAAATCACTAGATTTCATAAAGGTTGAGAGCGATTCCCCGACACATTCCCCTGCTTTGCCAGGCCCGGGTCCTACCCCAGGGGCAAGGCGATGACATGTGCATAATAGTCATATATAACCAGATAGCGTTCCTTGATCCACTCAAAAATATCAGACCCAGCTTTTGACCAGGGTCTGTAAATTGGTTCGTAGTCCAGAAAGCGTTGCAGACTTCACATGTATCAATGAACTACATCAGTTGCTTGTTCATCTCTGGTCACCAAAAAGATGTTCTGGCACGCCTAAGGGTTGGACCTTTGCCCATATGCGCAATTTCATTTGGTAATCAGGGTCTTTCGCATGCAGTGCCGCTGAGACTAGTATTTGATCATTCCTGTATACGATTGCATCGCTAAATGACAGTTTATATTTAACGCTCCAATAGGGCAAAATTTCAACAGGAACGTTTCGTTTGTATCATGTCCAGCAAATCGACATATGGTGGATTACAAACTGTAAGTCAGTATCCAGCTCAGATGCTTCTGAAATTTCGGCTAAGTGGCTTGTTATAAGCTTTGATCTTCGGGAACCAGTCTAGTCGTTTCAATCTCTTGTTCCATCTTGCTTCGGTTCTGGTTGGTCGTTTGAGATCTACTCAGGGCATCTACAATAAGGAGGTCTTTGTCCTTAACATACTTGTCATATCCCATGATTTTACCGAACATTTGCTGTATATAGCCATCAAACAAGGTTTTCTTTGACAGGTTTCTTCAGTGCGGCAGTAAGAGGCTTTTGTAGTAATTATTGATTGTCACTTTCCTGCTCATAAGTGTTAAGGTATGAAATCTTAGCTTCTCTTTCTATAAATTTGGCTGTAGCATTTTTCAGTATCAGTTAACCCTATTCAGACTGGGAGGGGGGGCTTTCGACCCCCTCCGGGAAAATCGTGATAACTCCTACACCGGAAGAGCTATGACGTTCAAATTTTCTGACTTTTCCTAAAATTTATCTAGGAACATTTTGGTGTAATTACCATGTCCATGTGATTAATCATGTTGCCATGGCAACCAGTTTCTGACACATAGGTTTTGGAAAATTTAAAAAATGGGAATTTTTTTTGTTTTAAGATCGCGTTTTTACACTTATAGTGCTTTTTGTTGTTAAAATGGTCTTTGCTTGGGACTAGTTTTTGAATTACATCAAAATGTTTCAACATCGAATATTTGGGGGGGAGGGGTGGGGTAAAATTTGTCATTTTTTTGCTTTGACAAATATGCTGCTCTATTTTCCAAATAACACTTCCAAAGTCATTTGTTTGGGTAATAAACATTAGTTTGATACTTCTTTTATACATTCTGAGCTTTTTCCCCTTTGAAAGTTGCTTTAAATTATAATTTTAACAAAAAAGCGGAAATCCAAGATGGCGGATCCAAGATGGTCCATTTCAAATTTTAAATTTTATTGCTTCCTATTGCTTTTTCTCGCTGTACAAGTGTTTCCTTGTTACTAGTTCATAAGAAAGGATATTAAAGAGATGACTTTACCAATATTATTGATATTTTACGTATCTAAGTGGAAAAATAATAAGAAACATTGAAAAATCGGAATATGACGTCACTGTGACGTCATCATTGGGCGTGGCAAGTCAAAACTGGGTGTGGGGCTTCTTTGTACGGAGGTGATCATTGTGTGTAAATTTCATGACCCTAGCATTATTGGTTCCAGAGATACAGAGGGGGGGTCCGAGGAGCCCCCCCCCCAGTCACAGATTGACCAAAAAAGCCCAGTCTGAATAGGGTTAATGCTCTCGATGCAAAGTGTATAGGTTGACCGCCTTGCATGAGGCAGGCTCCTATTCCACTTTTTCAGCCACTTCGAAGTATTTCAGCAGCGGTGGGTTTCATCAAGGCTTTCTGCTTATTTTACTCCCAGATAAACGAATTGCTGTTCTTCAGCAGAGCTCTCAGTGGTTCTAACTTGGTTAAAAAATCTTCTGAAAATCGTGAGAGGTAGAGAACATCACCAAGTAGTCTTCTTAATTCATCGTTGTTGGTTGGGGCAGGTATGGACATAACACAATCTTGTTTCCTGGGGTCAGGTATATATCCTTTGTCTGTTAGGCCACACCCATATGCATGTGGAACAGTTCAGTCTTCTTCAGCTGGAACTTCTCCTTATTAAGTTTAACACTCTTCCGCTGGGATTGATTTAACAAGGTAAGCAATTTTTTGTCATGGCTAGCTGTTGCCTCTTCAAAGCTGTCATCACCCCAGATCAAGATGTCATCGACTATAGCCTTTACACCTTCCAATCCCCCTATGCTCCTAGATTCTCTTCACTATTCTCTGAAATTCTTCAGGTCCTACACTAATGCCAAAGGCATTCATCCGCCCAAGAGGTTGTCAGCAAGGGGCTTCCTTCATCTAATGGTACAGGACCGAAACGGCAGCTTGATATCAGCTACAGAAAATACTTTAGTTAGCATTGCAAATTTCTGTAAGCAGATGATCAGCAGCTGAGTTTGGATACTCGTATCGCTTGGGTGCGATGTTCAGTGGTCTACTGCCTATGCAGAGTCTTATTCCATTCTTAGCAGAAGGTTTGCAGTTTACAACTAGGAGCACTTACCCATTCAGCCACTTCCTCATGTGTACTTTGCTGTTGGAGGTCTTTTACTTCAGCAACAAAATTGTTTTTTAATACACAAACAGGGATCTCTCTAAGAGCTGTTTTGTGTGGAATGACATTATTACGTGGGTAAAGGTGTAGTTCGCCGTCAAACTTTCCTATATTGTCACCAAAGACTTGAAGGTAGTCGTCCGGGGTCAGACCGGTCTTCAAGGGGAGTGGTGTTGGCACAATTCACCAGCAGCTGGCCCTGCTACAGCAATATGTTCTAGATTTCCGTAAGACCTCAATGAGTCTGAGCATTTCATAGTCGTTCAGGCCAATGAGGGTTGCTAGGTATCTTTCAACAATTCTAAACTGAATAATCACTTCTTCATTGGTTTCAGGATTTACTCCTGACAAAGACTTTTCTGGTTCCCAGTGTTTAAATTTATGGTTTCTTCATTATAGTGAGAAAGAGCAGGCCTGTTTGCATTGAGATTATAGACTCCACTGATGTCTTTGTACACATTCCGCATATGGAGAATGCTACATGCAGAAACAGAGTCTATCTGTTAGCTGACAGAAATCCTTTACTTAACTGACAGCAATACATGTACAGTAGGCTTGCAAAAGTTTTCTTGTGATCACAGATTTCGGGTTGAGTACAGAAATTTTGTAAATAACTTCATAATTATAGTGAATCCTCACCATCTTCTTCCACTGTCAGTACAAATTGTTCTGTGAATTATTTTGATTGTTTGTGATGTGAGTGTTTCTCTTGTATCCCTTTTTGGAGTTTTTTACACTTCTTTGATCGATCTTTAAGTCTTGAAAATGATTTTTGATCTTTCACTTTCTGTAGACTGTTCCCCAGGTGGGAACGAGTTTCTTGTCTGAAAAACCATGAGCTCCTATTTTGCTGGCACAGTAATTACACATGAGGACTTTCTTACATAATAGGCTTATTTTCAGAAACAGCTTTTATGCTCTCCTTTGCAGGAGGTTGGTTTGCACTACACTCTTGAACTTTAGCCTTGCCAATTGTCATAGCTTCACCTCTTGCGAAGGTGCTTCCTTTTTCTAGGAATCGTTCTTTCGGTTGTTCAACAGATTCACCGTAAAAAGATGATCTTTCCGTGGCGCTTGTCTAATCTTCATCTACATAACTGAAGTCTCTGCAGGGGTTGTCTCTCCAGTTTTTTGCCCTCGTTCTTTAAATTTCTTTTAGAATCAACATTCTGGTTACATTCTGGACTTACCGCTCTCTCTAACTTCGTCCCAGAACTTCAGTTT